TAAACAAATGGGTGTGGCTGTGTTCCAGTAAAACTTTATTTACAAAAACAGACAAAGGGCCAATTTGACCCACAGGTTATGGCTTGCCTATCCTTGACCTAAATTGAAAAGCAGGTGCAGTAATTGGGATAGGACACAATAGTTGTGTTGGGTGCTTTCCAGCCATTACCCCTAAACTTCCAGTAGCACTGCACTGTTAGATATTATCATTATCCAGGTTTTCCAAATGAGAAAACTGAGATTAAGATAGGACAATACATGTAAATCCATGGCTGATTCATGTCAATGTATGGCAAAAACCACTACAATATTGTAAAGTAATTAGCCTCCAACTAATAAAAATAAATGGAAAAAAAAGAAAATAAAAATAAAAGAACATCCAATTAACATAGGTAACTTTCTTAAAAAAAAAAAAAAAAAAAAAAAAGGACAAACGACCTTCCCAAGATCACAAAGCAAGTAAGTAGTAGAGGCAAGATTCAAGTTCAGATTTTCTAACCCCAAAGTGTGTGGTCTATTCTTAAAACATTACACTAACGCATAGTTGAGAGCAGTTAATATTGCACAGTCATGAGAAGCAATTAGTCCTTCCAGGAAAAGGGTACCATCCCGACTCTTGTTGTAATAACAACCGTTGCCGAGGAAGGGAAGGAAGATGCAGTGAAATATAGAAAGAAAAGCTAAGAATACAGCCAGTGCCCACCCCACAGGGCTACATGCTTGAGTCAGTTGTGTATCAGTGTTCATATGTCTTTGAGATACAGAAATAATTTCTATTCTGCTCTTTCTGAAAAATTTTTTTCTTTAAAAAGTGTTTTTACTTGGAGGATAATTGCTTTACAATGTAGTATTTGGTTTCTGCTGTATAATAGCATGAATCAGCTATATGTATACATATATCTCCTCCCTCTTGAGCCTCCCTCCCCGCCCCCCTCCCCACCTCCTACCCTTCTAGGTCATCACAGAGCATGGAGCTGAACTCCGTGTGTATACAGCAGCTTCCCGCTAGCTGTCTTTTTTATACATGGTAGGGGAGCCTAGCAGGCTCCAGTCCTTGGGTTCGCAAAGAGTTGGACACACACACACAGTGTATATATGTCAATGCTACTCTTTCAATTCATTCCACCTTCTCCTTACCCCACTGTGTCTACATATCTGTTTTCTATATCTGAGCCTCTATTTCTACCCTGCAAATAGGTTCCTCAGTACCATCTTTCTAGATTCCATATATGTGCATTGATTTATGATATTTGTTTTTCTAACTTCACTCTCTGTGATGGCCTCTAGGTTCATCCACATTAGTCTGCTCTTTTAATCTAACCATATGACCACTTTCCTTAACTATTCCCACTGCTGTAGCCTGGCATTGCCTTGCCCTTAACTTCACAACCACAGGGTAATTTAATATTACAGATACCCTGTTTAAATATCAACAGCTCCCCATTACCTCCAGGATAAAGTCCACACATGTTAGGCCCTCATGATACATAGTTCTTATCTGCCTTCTTCATCTCAGTCTCTGCCTGTTCTCACAGGACCCAGGACCCCAGCCATGTTGGACTCCTCCCAGTTCACCCACACCCCATGCCCAACCCAGGCATTCATGCCCTTCTTCCTCTGTCCGAGACCCTGTTTCCCTATCCATCCCCACTGCACCACCATCCATCAAGTCTCATATCTCAACATTCCAGAGCCCCTGGCCATCCATTCAAAATCCTTGCCCCTAAATTAGAAAGAAATTCTAAGTTCTTGTCTCTCCTACCCCAATATATTTATCAGGATTGCACAGAACCTCAGCAAAATCCAGCTGCTACCTTGAACAGTGAAATAAATCATCAGAGAGTCCTTTAAATGGAGTAACTGGCAATAGCAAAAGAAAAGCAGGAAGATGGAGGATTGGTAGGAAGTGGGGGTATTGGGGGATGATGCGGTGGCAGAAGAGATCCTGTCCTTGAAAAGACAGTTTGCATGTATGTGAACTAAGACTTCTGAGAAGCTAGGTGGTTGAGACAGTGCAAAGAAGACCTCCATAGCCACATAAAAATGGAGGCACTGGATGGGACTGCCTCAGGGCATCACGGTATGTAACGTCACAGAAATAGGGACAGGAAAATGTTATTGTCTGTTTCATAGATGATCTTGAACCTAGCTAGTTGGGGTGCAGTTTAGTTCCCACCTGTCAGCATGCCTGCTTATATAGGTCTGCCTTTTCATGGAAAATAACAGGCACAACTTATGTTAGCAAATAATTTCTCATAGTAGACATGAAGGTTTTTCTTGCTTGTTGACTATGTGCAGTCACTTCATGTGCCTCTAGGAATGTTTTCCCAGGTCAGATTTGGAGAAACTGAATTGTCTTTCAAGTAGCCTGGGCCAATTTATTCTCTCACCATCAGTGTCTAAAATTAACTGTTTCCACTGATATTCTTCAATACACTATTATTTTTTTTAATTTTCCAATCAGATGAGCACATTTATTTTTGCCTCATATTTATAGTGAAGCAAGCTGTCTTGTTAAGATTATATGTAGGTGATATACCAGAAATGTTATTTTTTCATAATGCCTCCATCCCCAAAATACTCTATTTCATCTCTTTATTTCCCCTATAATCTAAATTTTAGATCCTTTCATTCCAATCTATGTTTTTTAAAGATCTTGATTTGGGGGACTTGTAAATAAACCACTGAAAGGTTATCATTGAAAAACTTGAATATTACTTTGTTCTTAATCTAGTTATAATAATGGAACTAAATCTATGTTACATCAGGATTTTTTTCCAATGCATAATACAAGAACTTTACCCAAACAAGGTGTTTCTTTGGATCTCCTGCATTTTCCTGACTCTTATCTTGAAAGTAACATGTTCTTTAGAGCTGAAAATAACCATTCACTTAATCATACACCTTGGTTTATGTTCCTGTTATTTCATATTCTGTGGCATTTGTTGATGGAGGTTCTAAAATATTCCTTATTTTGTTTCATTTCCTGTTATAAAACATATAATTTGGGATTACCGATTCCTCTGTCAAACATGAAGTGATTCTTACTTAATGAGTTAGTTCCCAAAAGTCTAATTTGATGGCTAAAATAATCATAAGTCAAAAGGCCTCTATTTTCCATATTAACATCAGCAAGTAAATTTCTGTTCAGTTCTACTTAGATTCTTATGAACAAAGGGAACAGCTACTTTCAGGGGCTTTATCTGGATATAAATTTCCTTATTTCAGAAAATATAAATTTTGATGCAGATATATTAGTAAATATATTTTTGTCATAGTTTGGATTTTTCTTCATATCCTGTCTTTATGTCTCACAAACAGAAAAATGAAAGCTTATGATCACTTAGAATTACTTTAAAAGTATTTTGATACTAATGAAAGGACGAAAAAATAAGAAAAGCAATCATGATAGAATTGATACTAAATCTCCTTGGTGTTATAATTCTTAATTGTTAATTATATTGTTAATTATGGCTATTACCATTAACATTTACTTAACTGTAAGCATATCAACCAAATGCAATGCAAGACTGAATCCTGAATTAAAAAACTCTCTAGAGGACATGTGGATAATTAGAGAAATTTGAATATGGATCAACTATTAGATAATAGTATTAAGATTAAATTTCCTTAGCATTATAGTCATGTAGAAGATTACTCTTTTTCTTAGGAGATATGGGTCAAAAATTTGAGGGTACTGTCCTGAAATCAACAATATACTTTCAAATAGTTCAGGAAAAAAAAAACAACCTGTGTATGTGTGTGTTTATGTATATGTACAGAGAGAGAGAGAGACATAGCAGGAGAAAAAATAAATGTGATGAAATGCTACAAGTGATTACTAGAAACGTGTGTGCATTGCACTATTGAACGTGTGTTCATTGATAGAAACGTTTGTTCGTTGAAGTATTTTTTCCATTTTTCAATAGGATTGAAACTTTGCAAAAAAAAAATTGGAAGGAAAGTAACTACAGTTAGTTAATGAAGGGAAATTTACATTCTATTGTACTTATGAAGAGCTCAGAGGGACAATATCTTATATATCTAAAATAATCATTAGGTCTATGGTTGGAAATGTTCTAGTAACTTGAAATAACTATTGAAAACATCACTTTGCTCTGAAATAATAAAATTAGCTCACATGTGTAGATCCCCCAAATTACCATTATAATATGAATGTCTTACACAAATTTGAAATACTCTCCACTCCTCCAGAAAGCTTCTCAAGCTCAGAAACACGAGCTTCTTACAACTGACGTACACAAAAATGATCTAAAAATATGAGTATGAATATTCTGGTCAAACCAAGTTTATATTCAAGCACATAAAGATGTGCTCAAAATAAGAATGAGCAGATCTAAAGATAATTCAAGCAAAAGCTCACTTGTGCATGTACTGTCTTTAATACCAACAGGGAGACTTTTCCCAAATCACCCAGATGGCAATTTGAAAAGCCTCATCACTGTCAATCACATTTACTTAGCGTATATCCTGCCACACAGAAAAACACTTATCACAACTTCATCCAGCAAATAATTGAGAGTCACATTGGAATTTATTGTCATTGTATTCATCTCTAAAACTACGTTCCTGTGACCAAATTTGAGTTGTTCTGTCCCTGCAAAATTCTGCTTAGGTTTTTAGGCCTTCTTTAAAAAACGCAGATGCTAAACCTATGTAGAAATTAGCAAACAGTGACTGAAGAAATGACATAACAAATACTTGATCATATCAGTCAAAATTTTAAGTAAAAAGTTTTAGAAATGTCCAAAATGTGAGCCTAAGGTAAGAGAAGTGGAGTGTTTGGCTTTATTTCTCTTCATTGTCTAACTCCATTGAATATTTGCTTACATTCCCACTCACTTCTGACCTGGTAAATGAGAAAAGCATTTTAGATGTCATGAGATTGGATCTGAGTTTTGCTGATAAAGGGTGAAGAAAGGGTGAGAAGAGAAATGACAGAGTTCACAGTCATAGGGTTTGTTGCCTCCTTTGCTTACCTTCACTAACCAGTCCGTGCCTTTGGTCCTGGAGAAATACCACGATTGACCATATAGAGATGAATAAGCCAGCCAGTGCTTTGACCAGAAGTGTTCGCAAGCCTTTGGTGAGTCTACTTTCCCTGATAAAACCAATAAACTAAGTTGGTCGTTGCCCTTGCCATTCTTTTTATAACTGATCCTATGGAAAAAGTTGTTTTTGCTCAAGTCTGATTTGTGCTAAAGAAGAGTGGGAAGTCCCAGAAGGGGGGAGGCAATAACTGACAAACCCACATCAAGCCACAGAATGGTGTTTCTTCCCCTTTTTGAAAAATGAAACCTATCTATGAAACTGCCTCTTGTTAAAATAGTTTATTGCTACATGTTATGTAAGAACCCTCTAAACATAAACGTATTCCTCTAACAAATTCCCTGGGACCCCTCTCCCAAAAGAGAGCCAAGTCAAAGATGATTTCTCAAATTCTGTCTCGTTAGCCTTTAATTTTTAAGAAGTATTATTTCTCAGTTGGACTCATAATTTAAAAAAATGCAAATGAAAAAAGTTTTCTCTCTCAAATTAACCAAGGTTTAAAAATTCAATAGTACCCTGAGTGAGCAAGGTTGTACGGAAGGAGGCACCCTCATACACTATTGGTGAGATTATAAACATTTTCAAAAAGCAATTTTCCAGTATCTGTTATTTTCCAAAATTTTAAATATTCATACCCTTTGACCCAACAATACCATTTCTAAAAGTCATCCATAAGATATATTTGCACCTGTACACAAAGATATGTTAAAAGATATTTGTGGCAACTTTAAGAAATAACCAAGAAAAAATATTCATAAATACGATATTGTCCAAATACCTGGGAGTATATCCCTACTGTAGAAAATTAATGAGGTAATTTTATGTCTAATAATAGGAAAAAATCTCCAAGATATATTGTTTCAAAAGAGCATAGAAGACATAATATGCTCTAATTTGTATTTTTAAAGCATAGACTATTTCTATAGGGATATACAAGAAACTAGAAACAACCAATTGTCTTTTGGAAATCTTAATTTTCTACACTATATCTTTTTTAAGTTTCTACTGTGTATATGTATAACTTTTCCATTGAAAAAAATAGTATTTTAAGTCATATTTAATTTTAATGCTCAAATGAATCTTTACTGAGTCTGTATCTTTACTGGAGGACAGAGAAGTCTGTCTGCAAATGGGTCAGTTATTCTAGCCCAAAAGCAGAAAAATATTTACAGTTCTCAAAATAATTTCACTAGTTTACCCTGATGGCTTCAGTTAAACTAAGAAAGAGTAATCCTGTCCCAAATAATATCTGCTTCTGTTATCTTTTTCTACCTAACTCTAATCAAACCTAAATTCCAGGCTCTAAATATGTAAACATTTCCACTTCAGTTCAATTCAGTTGCTCAGACGTGTCTGACTCTTTGCGACCCCGTGGACTGTAGCACGTCAGGCTTCCCTGTCCATCATCAACTACCGAAGCTTACTCAAATTCCTGTCCATTGAGTCGGTGATGCCATCCAACCATCTCACCCTCTGTCATCCCCTTCTCCTCCTGCCTTCAATCTTTCCCAGCATCAGGGTCTTTTCCAAAGAGTCAGTTCTTCACATCAGGTGGCCGAAGTATTGGAGTTTCAGCTTCAACACCAGTCCTTCCAATGAATATTCAGGACTGATTTCCTTGAGGATCAACTGGTTGGATCTCCTTGCTGTCCAACGAACTCTCAAAAGTCTTCTCCCACACTGCAGTTCAAAAGCATCAATTCTTTGGCACTCAGCTTTCTTTATAGTCCAACTCTCACATCCGTACATGACTACTGGGAAAACCACAGCTTTGACTAGATGGACCTTTGTTGGCAAAGTAATGTCTCTGCTTTTTAATATGCTGTTTAGATTGGTCATAACTTTTCTTCCAAGGAGCAGGCGTCTTTTTTTTTTTTTTTCTCATTGCCTCTTTGTTCAGGTCTTTATTCAAGCAAGTATCTTTTAATTTCATGGCTACAGAGATGGGAATACCACTTAATGGGCTTATTTTATTCACCTTTGACCTATGACTTATCTTGAAAAGTTATACCTTTAAAAAGTATACTGTCATTTTATTTCTGTTAAAGTCTTTTTTTAATTTGCTGCATTATTCCATGGAACATTACTTAGATCCATTCAAAAAGGCAATCTCCATGTATACGCCATAACACAGACAGTTTCTCTATTAGTCCCAAATTTGACTTGACCTGCTACCACTGGAATGACCAAACTCGTTTCCCCAGAGGCAGGTTCATTTGCAGTGTAATCCTCTAAAATCAGGCCTAATGATGTCTCCAGGTTTTTGAAGCCTGTAAAGCATTTAGCTGGAGGAGGTGGTGGGCGGAATTGGGAGATAGGGTTTGACACATATACACCACTGATACTTTGTATAATAAAGAAGGAAATGGCAACCCACTCCAGTATTCTTGCCTGGAAAATCCCATGGCCGGAGAAGGCTGGTAGGCTACAGTCCATGGGGTCGCAAGAGTCAGACACTACTGAGCGACTTCACTTTCACTTACTTTGTATAAAATAGATGACTAATGAGAACATACTGTATAGCACAGGAAACTATAGTCAATTCACTGTGGTAACCTGGATGGAAGGAAGTCCAAAAGAGAGGGGATGTATGTATATGTATGGCTGACTCATTTTGTTGTACAGTAGAAACTAATGGAACACTGTAAAGTAACTATACTCCAAAAAAAAGAAAATTAAAAAACTTAGCTGTAAAAAGTCATAGCAACTTCAGGGCCAAACACTATTTCATTTTATTCTAGTGTAGGTTTAACCATGACCAGATATACTGTGAATATCCTAGAGTGGGTCTGACCTACCTCCAGAAACACTTTCTGATGGGGTCCCTATGGCAGTGCATGCCATTACCACTCTTGGGGGTGATTCCATCTGCTCTTGGTTGGGTTAAGTCACATTTATTGTTTTATTCAAATACAAGCTGCCGAATTTTTATTATAGTCACTCTTGATTTTGTCTCTTAAATTACTCATTTTATGGAAATCATCCTTTTCTGCAAGTATTTCCTGTAATCAAAAAGTTGGCACTATGTCAAGTTTGCTCTTTTGATAAGACTTGAGCTTATGAATATGGCTTGGAACTGCTTTCTGTTTGCTGACTTCAATATAGCAGAATTACATCCTTTGTAGCTGAAATCTTATAATACAATTTTATATACATCTGTTGTACGGCTATGCCTCTAAATGGATATTATTCCTGTTATTCAGTTGCTTCTCCTGGTGTCAAAACTTCCTCAAAGCTATTTCCATTATGATATCATCCATACTTACCTCACCCCCAATCCTCATGACTTCCCCCACCCTGTCCACCTCTACTCAATTCTAAGGGCTCTTCCCAGCACTTTCTTCCTCAACATTTTGTCTTTCTGTCACGTTATACTTGCCAATTGCCAGTTCCAGATAAGAGCCTTCATTGCCTTTCCCATAACTAGAGAACAGTATGTATGTAGATATCAAATATCTATGTGTATGTATATATGCACATACACACAACTGATCAGTTCCCAAATTTATTCCATCTAACTTCAACTCTTTCAGTGTAAATTCTTTGTCTTCCTGAAGTATACTCTTGAGCCATTAGCCATATAGTTTTCTCTTTTAATATCAAATGACCCAACTGAACCTACTTTAAAGAGTTCCCAAGGCCCCTGAGTCAGCAAGTCTAATGACAATTATTTCAGCCTAAACCTCTTTTGACATTCTACAGTATCCAGTGCTATTCACTTACCTCTTCTTTAATAGTTTGTTTTTTAAAAATTCGTCTGCATGATAGAAATTATAAATGGCACAAAAATTTATACAGTGAAAATTAAACCTCTCTCTTCATCTGATCTCCAGCTCTCAGGGCACTCCGGAGTAGCAATTGTAATCTTCAGTTTCTCCTGTATGAATTCAGTGATTACATCTGTCCTCTTTTGTATGCAAATAGTAGGATGCTGTGTATGCTATTTTATCCCTTGTCTTCTATGTGCAAACTTTTCAGTGTCATGGATGAGGTTGACCTCATCCATTTTAGTAGCTACACTGACTTGCAACACATATCTGTTCCAATAATAATATATTTACTCAGTTCTTTATTGATGCCACCTCTCTTTTAGGGAGGTCTCCCTTCTACCACCCAGTGGATGTGGTCTCATTGCACACTGCTAATTATTCTACCTCTTCACTTTCTCCTTTCGAAGCTCTTTGGTTTCCTATCAACCATCTGTTTCCTAGAACTGAAATTCTTGCTTTTTTCCCCTCAGTGTCTTATCTTGGTAAACTCATAACTTGCCACACTTTCTATTATCTTTGGCTGACCTGGGAATCTGTATTTCCAATCCCAATGTCTTTCTCCCATGACCCCTAGATTTTCACTTTGCATCTCTGACTGCTTCACATAAATAAGGCCAAATCTTTCATCAATTTTTTTTTATGTGTACCATTTTTTAAAGTTTTTGTTGAATTTGTTATCAGTGGTTTCTTATTTTGTGCTTTGGTTTTGTTTTGTTTTGCCATGAGGTATGTGGGATCTTAGCTCCCTGAGCAAGGATCAAACCTGTACCCCCTGCATTGTAAGATTAACCCCTGGACCACCAGGGAAGTCCCCAAATCTTTCATCTTTTGACCCCAAAATTCATATCCTTACTTATCTTTATAGCATTACCCAAACTCAGTACATCAAAGTCATTTCTATTTGTTTATATTTTTTCACCGTGATGGGTCTTCATTGCTGAGTAGGCTTTTTCTCTGGTTGTGGCAAGTGGAGGCTACTCTTTAGTTGTGCTATGTGGGATGCTCATTGTGGTGGCTTCTCTTGTTGTGGAAAACAGACTCTAGGTGTGCGGGCTTCAGCAATTGCGGCTCCTGGACTCTAGAGCACAGGCTCAATAGTGGTAGCACATGGACTTAGTTGCCCCGTGGCATGCGGGATCTCCTGGAACGGACCAGGGTTTGAACCTGTGTCTCCTGCATTAGCAGGCAGGTGCTTTAGCACTGAGCAACCAGAAGCCCTCAAAGTCCTTTCTAATTCAGTCTTATTCCTGATCTCTGCAATTAGTCAGCAGTGCCTGTCAAGCCGATTCAATAGACCAGAGCAATTTAAAACTGAATTTGATCTGTGCTTCCAGGAAAACAGCAAAACAAAAGCCCTGGCACCCTTCTGATAGTACATAATGGTATAAAGGTCAACTT